CTACAGGAACAAATGGAACTGATAAGTTTATCTGACAGATCTGCCCATGTGGAAAATCATACTGAGAAGCATTTTATGGAGCTGCTGGAGGGTACAGAAAGACTTTGCCAGAGAAACCAAGCAAATGAAAAAAATGAGGTATGAAAAACAAAAGGTTATACAAGAGGACATTCAGCCGGCCTTTCGGGGTGACGGACTTTGCATTCTAGCACCATGGCTCAATTTGTCTGTAACCTCGTGGAGAAGGCCCCGGCGCTGGTGAACGCTGCTGTGACTTATTCGAAGCCTCGATTAGCCACATTTTGGTACTGCCGAGGTTGAGCTGGTTCCTCCAACCCCTGCTGAGATCCCTAGAGCTTTTCAGAGCCTGAAAAAAATAGTCAATAGTGCTCAAACTGGTAGCTTCAAACAGCTTACAGTTAAGGAAGCCGTGCTGAATGGTTTGGTGGCCACCGAGGTGTGGATGTGGTTTTATGTCGGAGAGATCATAGGCAAGCATGGCATCATTGGCTATAATGCTTGAAGACCAATCTTTAACATCTGATTATATTTGACTTATTTGAGTACTCTTGGACCATGTGTGATCAGATTGTTATCTGAATAAAATGTGTCAAAAATCCATGTTTTCTCCATCAAATAGTACACAGAAGGTCACAATTTCTTTGATGATGAAGTTGGGTTATCTTTTGCTTTGATACATTAATACATTCTAAATGTATATCTGTTCAGCCTGAAACTGGAAAGGATATATGTGACTATGTCAGCCTGGTACATGAATATTTGAAGATAACATTTTAATTTGAAATATATGATATTTAAGCTTTACTTCCAGAAAGTGGGGGGAAAGGCCTTGAGAAAACTCTAATTTGCTACAGTAGGAGAAGTAATATTAATAATACCATGTGCCAAAGTGATGTAGTTAAATCATGTTAGTAGCTAAAAGGAGTAAAATTTGGACTATTTCTTTTTGCTGAAATCCCAGAAAGACCCTATCGACAAAAGCTATGTCTGGCTTTTTTTTTTTTTTTGCACCCTTCCTTTTGCTCTCCCTTTGCTGCAACAGTGGGTCCAGTTGTCATCTGTGGCATATGTATCATGCTTTGTAAACCTATATCTTGCTCTTGCCCTATAATCCCATCTTTCTCTCCTCAATAAACCTCATTTTCATGCTTGCCTTTAAAAAAAAAAAAAAGGTTATACAAGAAAATGAAATCATAGTAAACTATTCTCTCAGCAGTGACAAATATTTGGTCATATGATGAAAATTCTGAATATAAATTTAACCTAAAATTGTGGAGCAACAATATTAGACGCAGGAAAGTGTACTTTGAAAAATCTTCAAATACTCATCCCTTTAGAATCACTGACAATGGCCGGGTGCAGTAGCTCACTCCTATAATCCTAGCACTTTGGGAGGCCAAAGCAGGAGGATCACTTGAGGCCTGGAATTCGAGACCAGCATGGGCAACACAGTGAGACCTCATCTCTACAAAAAATACAAAAATTAGCCAGGCCTGGTGGTACATGCTGCCTGTAGTCCCAACCACTCAAGAGGCTGAGGCAAGAGGATCACTTGAGTCCAGGATTTCAAGGTTATAGTGAGCTATGATGACACCACTGCACTCTAGCCCAGGCAACAAAGTGAGAACCTGTCTCAAAGAAAAAAAATTAAAAATAAAATAAAATAAATTAGCCAGGCATGGTGGCACACACCTGTAGTCCCAGCTACTTGGGAGGCTGAGGTGGAAGGATCACTTGAGCCTGGAAGTTTGAGGCTGCAGTGAGCTATGATCATGCCACTATACTCCAACCTGGGCAAGAGAGCAAGAGCCTGTCTCTAAAAAAACAAAATACATCAATAAAATCACTGACATTTACATACCTCAAATTATTCGATTCTAAGAAAAGCTTCTATCGTCCATTAAAGTTAAATTCTGTAACTACACTTTCAAGGCAAAAATTCAGTGAAATGTTCCAGTTTTGTCTTGGAATACTTTACAGGGTCATTCTAAGGGAAAAAAAGTTAAATGCAAAGCAAGAACACTAACTAAAATTAGAAGATCTATACAAATTTTATTGGTTACTGGAAACGGTTAAGGCACACTGATACCTAATGATGTGTTTGTTCTGTTGTTTGCCATAATATAATCATAAATGTTAGAGACCTGCAGTACATGTCCACTTTTATCAACTTAATAATTTATTTAGTCTTACCATAAAATGGGTTGTTTATTCTTCATTAGTTACCTCTATAAGCACCAAAACCTGGTTATTTTCTAGTTTTAAAAATCTAAAATGTTTTGCATTTTTTCTAAGAAATAAATTTAATTTTTACTTAATTACTCAAGCTATCATGCAAGAGAACTACAGCACTATGACCAGATGGCCCTAGAGATTTTAGGTGTATAAGGCATCAAGCCCTATTATTAGTATGCTCAGTTTATAAAAATAATTCTCTTGTTCATCACTCAACTTCAAAGCTATTGTCAATGATCCTTCCTCTTTCAGGATTGACCTATCTTTAAATTTGTTATGGGGTTTAAAAAATTAATAACTATGCTTCAGATTCAAATAGCATTTACTAAATACCCTGCCAGGTCCTTTCATGTACATGCTTTCATTTAGTTCAAATACTTTCTGTTAGAATGGTCACCAATATAAAAATAAAGCAGTTCTGAGAACTCTTTTAAAAAAAAACCAAAAACTACTACAAACAAATACAAGAGCTTAATTGTTTAATGGAGTAGGGGGCGCACATCTTTTGGGTATGTGTGGGTTTTGTTTTGTTGAGGGAGAATCTATTTTCCTTGTTCAGATGTCTTTATGGCAAACTTCCGGTTCTGACTCAGATTGTTCAATCAGCTATGTACAACTGAGAGGTGGTTACTGAACTATGTACAGCCAACTTAGAGCAACACTTAAAAGAGGTACATACCTAAAACAACAGACACTTGGTCACCCATTGACTGAGGTTTTCACGAAAAGTACGGCAAAATGAACACTGTATTACAAATCAGGATTTCTATATTTTCAATTATATCTAATAATAAGGGTATTCTTGCAATTTTAATACCACTATTTAAGAATCTTAATTGGTTATAACAGAACTTCAACTCAGTTAAATCCAAACTTTAGAAGGATCTGAGTACTTCCCAAGAGGGAAAGATTTTCACCATTTAAATTTACCATCAAGACACTGAAAAGCAAATCTTATTCCTTGTTAGTTTTTCCTCAAAAAAATAGCAGTTCTGTCCCCCAAAATAAAAATCTTACTTACAATAGTGTTAATATCTTCTCACTACTTGAAAACCCCACATAGGTCACAGGAAAACATTTTCCCCACATCTTAATGTAAAAGCTATCATTGCTTATATTCAGGCTTAGTAATGTAAGTGATAGCTCTCAAAAGGAGGATTCTAAATGTAATTTAAAAGACCATAAAAATTTCCCTTTAACAGCCATTTCACTTAAAGGCCATTTGTGTACTTCATAGTTTTAAGTTAGACTTAAAGAATGATTACTTATTTCTTTTCAGCCATTCCAATACTCTAATAATGTAATACTCATATTCACTTCCTCATTCAGAAAACTTAAGAGCAAATGTGCAATTTACACACCACAGATAGGACTGATACCAAGCTGCATATGAATGGTCTTCCAGGCATCTAAACCCTTAAATTTCATATATAACCATTAAAACGAATTGCTTTAAAATACTAACCACCTAAAATTCCTGAGTAAAAGTAGTGTAAATTCCATCCTTAAAACCACTTTTCTAGAAGCAACACCATCCAAATCTTTACATTGCATCAGAGTACCTGATGGGTGTGCTTAAATGTCAAAGCTTTGCTCCACAGGCAAAAAACATCAAGGAAGAAGTAGTACCGTTGCTACATGTTTCCGCAGCATTTTAAGTTGTGAAGATAAACCATTCCAACGCAAACAGAATTTTTCATGATCTAAGTAAGCTATTATTAGGTCAGCAATGCTAAAACTGGCATTTCATTTTTTCTAAAACTGACATTTTATTTTTTCCTAAATAACAAAAAAAAAATTTGACAACACTGTGTAGCAATGTAGATTTACAATTAAGATAATAGGCTTTAAGCTTGTGATCGCATGAAGATCCATAGCTAAATGACAGGAACGCCTATTTTAAAGAAATACTATCTGAAAAATTCTATGACTACCCTACATTTAAAAAGAAAAGTGACCGTGTCTGAAAAGAACGCTCAAGAATTAGCCTTTTTCTGATGCTAAAACATTTTACAGCCACTTGATTTGGCAAGAAAAAAAAAAAAGGTCAAAGCTCCTGGTTTTATCATTTGAGGCAGAAAAAAAGAATATGGCTGAAAATTCTTTCTTAAGGGTGGTATTTCAAATAGGACCACTCAAAACACTTAAGAATATGGAACGGAGCGGACGGTGAAGGGACGGTACCTTATGAAACAGCGCACTTCGGGCCCTGAACACTACCTCATTTTCCTAATAGGGATGAAATGCTCAGGCCTCTGGTAGCTCCCAGCTGAAGCCAAAGCTCTCCACACCCCTTTTTTTGACAGGATTTTCTGGTGTTGGAGACTATGTCACAAATATGAATTCCTGAGATCACATCTAAACGGTCTAATAATCAAACAAACATCGTTTACAAGATCAAACCCTTCTCCCATCCCTTTCCCTTCTATCTCCCTCTCTAGCCAAACACACCTAGAAAGGTCCTCTAACATTGATTTCTACAAATCCTGCAGCGCATTAACTGGAAGGAAGAAACGTATGGAAAAAAAGAGTTTCGGCCATTCCCCTCTCCGCGACCGCAATTACAGGCCCCATTTCCTGTCCCCTTGGGGACTGCAAAATCGCCTGCTGAGAACCGGACGCCTCCCGCCCCCTCCAGGCTGGCGCACGCGGCCGCCGCACTCCCCCTTCCCGGGCCCCTCGGGCGCGAGACGCGGCGGGGACCCCGGGCGCCCTCCCCTCCCCCTCTCGGCGGCGGCACCCACCTCGCGGCGGCTGCTTCACCTCGCCGTTCTCCTCCCGGGCGGCCCCGCTAGCCTCACCTAGGCCATGCTTCCTCTTCTCCTTCTCCCGCTTCTCCTTAGGTCTGCGAGACTTGGCGTTGGCCGAGGAAGCGGCGGCCGGCAGCAGGAGATGGTGAGGCTGAGCGTGCAGCAGCGTAGGAGGGACCAGCAGTTTGCGCGGCACTGGCTGAGACAAGGAAGCGGAGGCTGACGAGGGAACGGCCGTGCCAACGGAGAAAGAGAAACTGCTCCGAGAAGAGGACGGGGAGGGGGCAGCCGACAGAGCGGAGAAGCTCCAAGACGCAGAGCTGCCATAGCTCTGAGGCGAAGGTGCTGCTGGCGGCTGCAGCTGCCTGCTGTTCCCGCCGCTGCCTCCTTCTCCGTTCACTCTCCGCGGTGCCTTCTTCTCCTCAGTCCGGACCTTCTTGGCGGACAGAGAACCCGGTGCGTCCCTGGAGGAGGGCTGCCGCATGACGAACGGTTCTTTCTCCGAGGCGACAGCGGCGGCGGCAGCAACAGCGGCGCCGCGCACTGGGCTCCGGGGCTCCGCCATTTTGCACTCCTGTTGTATTTACTCTCCTCCGCTCCCCGGTGCGGGGCAGGGGGCGGGCCCTCCGCGAGGGGTAGGGAAGGGGCGGAGCGGCTGGCCTACCGGCCGGGGCCTCCATTGGGTGAGCCACGCTGAGGGATCCATTGTAGGAACCAATCAAAGGCGCGAACATGAGGCGACGGGGCGGGATCGCCAAGCGGACCCTCTTTGGAGGTCAGAGCTCCGCGGGGCGCGGCTAGTGGCTCAGCGAACTGCGAGGCGGGGCGTCTTCCAAGTGTGCCAGCTTGAACTCGGGTGCACTGTGGATGTCCGGGAAGAATCCCCACCGCAGACCTCGAAATCTGCGCTGGCCGAGGTAGCGACCGTCTCTGCCTTGAAGACTTCGTCTTACTTGTTCCACTTTCTCTCCCTTTTTCTCTGGGGTGCCTTTGATCTCTCCCTGCCTCTGCCCGTTCAGAAAGCCGGATTTCTGGGATGCTCAGCTCAGAGGAGAAGATTTTGCTGGGAATTAAATCCTTCCTTTTGTTAGTTGACAGTCGATTGATGGGAGGTGCTCAAAATCATTTGGTGTGGTGACAAGATATGTTCCTATTGCTAAGACTTTGAACTCTAAGCTTTGAGGGAGATAACTTCCTGCAAACCTAGAACTTTCGGATTTTGAGCTTGAAGGTAAGACTCTCCCTGGGTTTGGAGACTTTTTTGAACTATTATGATTGGACCCGTAACGATTTTAATTTTATTATAATTATTGTAACTTAGACTCACCAGGAAAAATCCATTGGCAATGTTTACAGATGTTTGAAAAGCAAGATTTTTTTTTTTTTCTGTTTCTGTATTTTAGCGTTTAGTTAGTACCCTGCATGTTCGATGTTTGGAAGCTTTTTTGATTTTGAGCTTTGAAGATAAGGAATTTGGAGAGATGGGTTTTAGCTTAGAAGATAAGGAATGTGAGGAGATGGGTTGCAGTACAGTTGTAACTGTAGCAAATACGAATTTAATTGAATTCAGATCTCACATGAAATCAGAAGGTCAAAAGACTCGATGGAAAAAGAAATCAAGTCAGGAGATGGACTCTTCATCTTCCTTTTTCACATTATGATCGCCAGATAAAATACAGGATGTCCAGTTAAATTTTAATATAAGATAAACAGCGAATAAATGTTTAATATAAGTATGCCTTATACAATTTGGAACATAGTTATACTAAAAACAAACAAAAAAAACTATTCTTTGTTGATCTGAAATTCAGGTTTAACTGGATTTCCCTCCCCCCCCCAATAAATCTGACAACCCTACACTAATCCATCCTTTCTGTGCTTTTTTCCCTATCCAACTTAGAACCTGTGATATATTATTAATATTTGTACCAAACATTTGCCAGCACCTCAATTTCTCACACTCTAATTCTCTTCATCTCTGTCTATGCTGCTAACCCCTAACCTCAGGTCATTACTACTACCTGCTTTTCTGCTTCCAGGCTGCCAAGCATTGTCCTCTCTCTTCTATTTAAATGTTGAAATTCTTGGGGGTGTGTGTTAATCTTTATCTCACTCTTCACACTTCCATGTGATATTATTCATCACAATATCTTCAGTTATCTGGTAAATGTGGAGAATTCCCAAGTCTTTCTAACCTGCCCTGACCTTCCTCCTAATTCCTGGTTCATATCCACATGCCCAGTGGACATCCCAGATACCTCAATCTTTTATTTATTTATTTATTT